ATTGGGTAAATCATTTTAACTCACAAATTCAGAATCTACACATTTTGTGTGCAAAAACATATCTGAGTATGTAATTCATCAAGGCAAATATTTTTTGCTCTTGGTATGCAGTTTCAACAAATTATAAACTGACCAAATTTCTATATCAATTCATCAAATTACATTGATACAGTAGTTATATGGTTACGTATTTATTAGATATATCTAAATCTTATTATGCATATTTAGTTACACATTTCAAAGCACACATGGCATCATCTACAGTCGCAGACAACGCTGTTCCAATCAAGAAAAGGCCCACCTAAGGATAAAAAAAAAAATTGTAAGTTTTCCTAACTTGGTTATTTGATGGTACTATATAGGCAATGTTGACCAAATGACTTTTTAATTTGAGGTTAGGATAATTAATTTAAAAAACTGAACGTGAGATTCAATCTTGGTGTTAAATGAATATGAAGGTTTAAACTTTTGAACTTGTTTTCTATTTTAAATTATTTTTTGAATCTCCAAATTTGTAGGAGGTTTGTCCTAAAATTTGACACTTGTAGAAATAATTTATTGCAAATAATTTATCTTTTTATTTAAATTCAAATTTTCTTTTGTTATCCAAATTCAAATTTACAAGGATTCCATATATATATATATATATATATATATATATATATATATTCCACAACTGCTCAATGATCATCTGGAATATTAAGTTGAAACTTTACCTTTTATAGGCATAACGTACAAAATTGGAATGGTTTTCTCCAGTATTTTACTCTACATAAAGAAACAAAGAAGAAGAAATAGGGGAAAACACAAAAGAAAAATGTGAAAAGAGAAGGAACAGTTACAAAAAAAAAAAAAAAAAGATATAAGAAAGATGAAGACTTCAATAGTAAAACATAATTTACAATTCCATATTTGGATACTCGTTACTTTCTTATAATCATGACCAAACAAAAAGAAGAAGATAAGTAAGGGAAAAAGAGATTTGAAAAATGAAAATCATAAGAAATTTGCTAAATTAGTGAATATTTTTACTGCCACAAATCAACAATATCCAACCTTAATTTAATTGTCTTTTAGCTCCAAGTTCTCTTCTAACCACGACATGCTATCCAAACACAAATGTAGCACATTCGGATTTTGGATTAAGCAACCAATCACTAACCAAGTTGCAATAAAAAAAATTATGTGGGTTCACTTTGTAGTCTCCAAGTGTAACGACCCGGCTGGCCTTTTTTGAGTGTTTTAGTCACCGTAAAATTTTATTGCTAATTCGAGCAATTTCGAGCTTAGGAATACAATTTAATTTAGACACGAACCACATGAAAATTACTAGAGTGGATAAAGTTATTTGGATACTTGGGGATAATTATTTATTAATATTTGAGTGATGTAATAATGGGGAACTCTTGAATGTTAATTTCAAAGCAATAAGACTAAAGAAAATACAGTGAGCTATCTTCCCATAGCGCAACTATAGCACAGGAGAGAAGCTGAAAATTTTAGCAAACCAGTGAGCTAAAGCCTTATAGAACAGGGATAGCACTAGTGAAAAAATACTGTATCGAATTTTAGCAAACCAGTGAGCTAAAGACTTATAGCACAGGGATAGCACCAGTGGAAAAATATTGTACCTGGGCCTATTAATACTTAAACTAGATTATTGGGTGTTGTAGAAATTTTGTAATGAATTAATTAGTAACAATTGGGTGGATGTGACTTCATTGATGATTGCAATGGTGCTAAGTAATGATCATTGATGATCATTACTTATTATTATGCATTTACTACTGTGACTTTCTATTAACTTGTCAATTTGCTTATATTTTGATACTTCTTTTCTTTTAATATAACATGAATATATATTTTCACTCTGGAAACATTTTTTTCTTCTTAACTTGTGTTACGCTGATCAAAATTATTGAATTGTCTAAATTTATCAATAATCGTTTTGAGTGTTATTTAATTATTTTTTAATTATTTTAATTAATTTAAAGTATAAATATCCTAAAATTATATTTATTTCCCTCTTTTTGTACTTTCTTTTCTACTGTAATATTTGATTAGTTTTTTTTTTATTTATATTTTACTGAAAATTTAAATAATGTAATATATTTTTAATAAATTATACTTTTGAATTCATTAAAAGTATAAAGAGATAAACTTTTTATTATTATTTTTTAAATCTACCAATATTTCTAATAATTATTATTTTGTGTTATAAATTTTGTATGCTTATCTTATGTATAATTATCATAATAATATATTTATATTTTGTATTTTTATTATGAATTGAGTTCTATTTATTAACAAAAAAATTTTACATGAGTATTTGTATATACGTTTTCATGCTATCACTTGATTGTTGTTTTGGGTATTCTTTCTTTGACTCTTTGTTTATTATTATTTTAGTTATGTGTATGTACGACATTTCTCATGATAATTTTAATTATAAGTCTTATATTTTTCCACAAAATTATATAATTTTTTTTGTTCTTTGCTTATCTAATTATATTATTCATTACTTAATATTATTTAATTTTCATATAAATTTTAATTAAATTACCGGTTTAATAGAATATAATTTGTATTATTATTTAAATTTAACTTGACTTTAGCCTGTATAATTTTCTCATAGAATCACATTATATATAATCTCAATTAAATTAAATTATCCTTCCCATTTGTATTTAATATGAAAGTTTATTTTTTTTATAATTACTACATAAAAATTTAACCTATATCTATATATGTTTTATTTATTTCTTGGAATTATCGTTTATGTTTTTGTCTTTATTTTTATCTATTATAATATTTTTAGTTACATGAATTATCCATATAGCATGACCATGTGAATTATTATTAAAAAACTTTCTCATCTCAAAAGATAAATAGTCTTATCATTTTATATATCTCTACACTTAATTCATTTAATTAAATACTTTTTCTCATTTTTTTATAAAAGTTTTCTTAAAAATATATAGAAATTTAATTATTTTTTATTTAATTTAAAAAGAATAACCAATTATTAACTAACCTAACTAAGTTTATTATAAAACTAATACATGTCTTTCTCCTTCTACATGAAGTAAAAGACTTCCAATTGTAGCTACAACAAATTTTATTTCGAAATAACCATATATATCCCATCCGTTATTGGTGAAATTGAGCATAGTTGCGATGAAACCATTGAAAATTGATACATACAATGTAAAATTGTAAGAGTCCAGTCCTTCACTTAGCTTGTTGAAGAGATGTTATTCCCAAATGCATCTTTAGAAAGAATCATAACGGAAGCTTTTATCCCTGCTACAAACTCACTCTCTCCGTTCCATGACACCACACTTGTAGATGGATAAATGATACCTTTATGTATGTTTAATTAATTAAGAAACATATGATAGGATAAAAAGCTAATGACTTTAACTTTAAGTTTACAGTGTGTGGCTGCAACATATTTGCCATTAACTTCATTAGACCAATATTCATGTGGAGCCTATCAAATTAATCCAAACAAAAATTGCTCTACCGAATGCTTATATACTCCAACAACAACAACAATAACTATACTCCAACAACAACAACAATAACTAAGCCCCTGTCCCAAATAATGGAGTATATATTTAATTGGTCGAATCCATGCTCTATAGTCAACAATGAATAACAGGATTTAGTGAATAAGAGAACCTGAGGTGACTTGAAAATGCACGGAAAATCAAAGACATTGAAGTGATCATCAATAATCCGCACATTGACACTGATGTTGGGATTTCAAGGGTGCTTGAATTTTCTAGGATCAAAATCTCCATAACTTTGACAACAATGGTTGCCACATTCCCAGCCACAAATGTATTATTGTTGTCCACCCAACTAAATGCAAAATTAGGAACTGCAAAAAAAATTTAGAAGAGTGTGAATTTACTTATATATATACTTTGAATTGTCTTGTCATCTCTTCTTGGATTTCCTGTAAAATTATGGTTGTGTGCTAATGAGATAATTCATTTTTAGTTCTCATTTTTCTTGTTGTTTGACATAGTGGTTCAACATTTCCACTGCAGTCATTGGTGCCCTTATCTTTGCAATGGGCTCCTGCTTTGTAAGTGTGGATTGAATTACACCTTAGTGATTTTTCTGTATATGACAGTTCAATCTAAGGCTGGTTCAGAAAATAATACAAGTTTTCTTGTTTTTCACTTTACAGTCATGGTTACGAGTTTCACAACACCTTCACACATTAAATCAAATAGCAGTGGGTGTTGTATTAGGATTCTATTTTTCCATTTTCTGGCTCTGATTATGGAATGGCGGCGCAGTCATGAAACCATTTATATAGCCCACTTTTGGTTTCGGATGGTGTAATCAGATTAACACATAATACAGAAGATATATAATTGTATAGTAATTGATAATAGTTAAGCTATAGAAAAAGAACTTCTCTACCTGTCATTATTTTGCAGATGTTGCTCTCATACGAATTACATTTGAAAGATGGTGTAGAAGAGAAATTGGTTCGCCATGGATGAAACTGAACTGATTAGCAAGAGCGGGAGTATTTTGAACGGTTTACAGGAGAAGTTGGTTTCTTATAATGTACCATATAAAATCAGTTATTTTTTAGAAAAATTCAAAATTCTAAAATTTTTAATTCTGAAAACAAAAATTGGTCCTTCACATTTTTTAAACTAAATTTGAAACTCCAACAAAGTTAGAGAATTGTACAAAAATTTTATATGTGTCAATTTAATGTTAAGCCACTTGTCATCATAATATTTCTTTGCTTATTCTATTCTATATAAAATATAAATTTAATAGAAAGAGAGATATATTTGACTTAAATGCTTTTTAAAAACTAAGCATTGCAACGTTTAGTTTTGTTTTTCTTTCCGATAAAATTGCAACGTTTAGTTTTCAAGTTTGCTATTTTAATCATCAGAAATCAGATGAAAACATTAGTAATTATCGATTCTTTTTTTAATTCTTTGTTTAACTTAACTGTAAAAATGTATAGAGTATTTGCAATTGCTTTTTCGCTGTTTTATGTGATAAACTCCGATGGGGCCCACATCAGAAATGGACCTTCCCCATCGCCGCCGGCGAAATCTCATTCCCCAGTTTCTTCTCCGGTCTCTACTCCGGAGAGTCCTCATGTTTCGCCTTACAAGTCTCCGCTCACTCCGGAAATTTCTCCGGCAATTACGGCGTCTCCTAAAACTAGTCCGTTTGCTTCGCCGATACAGTCTCCGACGAGAACTCCGCCGTCGACATCCAATTCGCCTGCTCCGTTACCATCTGCGACGACTTCTGAAACGCCGGTGAGCATTCCGGCATTATCCCCTCAGGCATCGTCACCATTGCCGGCGTCTCGTGAAGGGTCTGTCTCGCCGGGATTTTCTCCTCCTACAACTCCGCCGATGACAGTCATTTCGCCGGCAGTCACTCCGGGGAACACTCCTACATCATTACCAGTGCCGGAGCGTCCTAAAAGGAGACCGTCCGCTCCGCCGGCATACTCCCCAGCGACGACACTCATTTCGCCGGCAGCCACTCCATTATCCACTTGGACTACTCCGATTCCATCTGCCGTTACTCCTCCGCCAGCAATTGAAACTCCGGTGAACACTCCTCCGGCAGCTTCACCTGAAACAGCGCAAATTCCGGCAAGTTCTTTTATGACTCCATCTGAGGCACCGGAGATGTTTTCTTTAGATAGTAGTCCGCCGATTCCGGCACCGGCTAGGTTCACGCCGGAGAGCTCACGGCCACCGGTGGCTGATATTTTTGCTGCAACTTCAAAATTCGAGGTGCCAATTTTGCTAAGTGGGCTTGCTATATGGACTGCAATAGTAATTTGAGTATTTGTAAAGGCGCAATTTTTATGATTTTATCTATACGTAGTTAGTTTCATTTTGGTGGATTACTTTTTCAAGTTTAAACAAACCAAAAGAATTCCCTTTGTTGTTGTAATATTTTTTATTCTTTAAGTAAAAAGCTAACCTTTGATAGAACGGTGTAGCGGTCGAAAATTAGGATTATAGATTAATTAGTAGTTGAGTTTATTTCCTTTTCACACATGTATTTCCTTCCGTTGTTGTTGTACCAATGTTATCCTTGTGTTCCTTATTTTTATATCGATATTTTTTTTTTACTTGAGGTTCTCTTTGATTCGTTTTATTTTCTGGTCATTACATTTCGTTTGCTATAGTTCTCTCTCGTAACTGTTATGAAGTTGTTGTATTGAGCCGACGGTCTTTCGGAAACAGTTTTTCTACATTCACAAGATAGGGATAAGGACTGCTTTCCCAAACCCTATTTATGAGAACATTTTGGGTATGTTGTTGTTGTTGTTGTTATAAATAAGTAAAAAGCTACATATTTCTCCACCTATTTTGGTTAGCGGAGCCTTTGTTTTTCCGGAAGAATTAATCTAAATAGTTGTTCATTCAATCAATTAAACTAAAAGCAATGAATATGTAATATATGTATAATTGATGTATAATATATTCTTTGTTTCTTTTTTGTCTTAGGGAAGTTTACCATCAATGTAAAACTAATTAGGAGTATAACATAATGAATCTTCTTTAAAATTTAGCTGCATAGATGATTTATATAACTGATGTGAATTAATTGAGGGTTTATTAATCAGAGTTGATTGGTTGAAGTCATTCACTCCAGCTTAATAATAAGAATAAATGTGTAATTAATTCAACAACCATATTATTTGTTTTCTATAGTAAAGGATAAACGGAGTACACGGTTTTTGGTTTCAATTGTCAAAAATTTCTTTGTTCTTTTGGGTACATTATATTGTGAAAAATGCATATAAATTCATGTGGGATACATTACTTTTTTGGATTTCCAACTCAGTATCTGGTACCCGCATTGAAGCACGACTATATCTGAATTCGCATCGCGTATGACCCCATTCGGGAGGAAGCGCTCCCTACTAAGAATTTTTCTATACTTAGGGCTCGAACTAAAAACCTATGATTAATGGAACAAGGGTCTCATCTAGTGCACCACATCTTAGTATGAATTGTGCATCACAGAAAGTTACGGTGAGATGAATAAGATCTTTTTGCTCTTAACGAGAAATTTTGAATTTGTGCCCTACGAATAAAGAAAAGTCTAATAGAAAACTAGTCACTCTTTAATTGGCCTTATGCAATGCGAACCGAAGTTATAGTTTGTTTGGCCAAACTTCTAAACTCTGTTTATTTTGAGAAGTATTTTTTTCAGAAGTGCTTTTCAAAAAAGTATTTTTGGTGAGAATCGATTTGTATTTGGTTAATTAATTTGAAAAATACTTTTGAGCAGTAATTAGTGTTTGGCAAAACTTTTGAAAACTGCTTCTAAATATATTTTTCTCAACAGTACTTCTCAGAAAAGTGCTTTTGAAGAGAAGTTATATTTTTCTGCTTCTCAAAAATTATTTTTGTTTTTTCTCAAAATTATTTTTTTTCCTTCTAAACTCTAGACCAAACATCTTAATTTTTTGTCAAAAGCATTTTTAGCCAAAAAAAAATAAAAATAAAAAAGTTTGTCGAAACCGGTTGTCAGTGGGATTCCAATAAAAATACTGTAAAGGGAACACCGGATGTAAAATTTAAAAATGAGTCGTACAAGGAATTCAATATGACACATTTCATTGGGATTTCGGTGTGACATCTAGGAGACAGCTAATGATGCGTTGTTTGACGGCAAGACAACAAAAGTCTTCGATCATAGGCTCAAATTGGAACAAAGATATATTCCTTTTGGATGGTTCTCATTTTATGTCATAAACGCAACAATCTTTCAACTTCCAAGTTTCACTATCACACAGATGTCCTTAATTTAATTTTATTGACTTCATTAGGGCTTAATTTATAAATTTCGATCAAACTGTGATAAAAGAATGTTTGGTAGATGTATGATCGCTAGTACTAATTTTGTTGGATTTTTTTTTGCGGGCCTCTCATTTACCCGGAATTTCGTAGGTCAATGGGAAACATTGGTCGCTGGGCTGTTTTCTACTACCTACAAAATTTCAGGCTAATCGGAATCTGTTAAATTTATCTTTTACAAAATCAACATATGCTGATACACACAAAAAAGTAGATATAATCATAAATTTGTGTTGCATAACCCCGAAATACCATAAAATGAACTGAAAGTCATGGCAAAGCAACGAGTATTGATCACTAGGTCGATGGACCTACAAAATTTTAGGCCAATCAGAGTCCGTGAATAAAATTTTACAAAATCAATATGTACTAATACACATGAAAAGGTAGGTATAATCACAAATTAGTATTACATGATTCCGAAACGCCATAATATAACTCTATAGTCATTGCAAAGTAATAAGTATTGGTCACTATGTTATTTTCTATGCACCTACAAAATTTCAGGCAAATCAGAGTCCGTCAAAAAATTTTTATAGAAAAACAATGACTATTGTTCATTAGATCATTTCGAATGGGACCACAAAATTTTAGGCGACTCCAATTTTTCGTGTGCTATAGTCCACGCAATCTGTATGAATTCGGGCGATCGGCTCCGATCGCCTAAAATTTTACGGAACCATAAAAAATAACCTAATGAACAATTGCCATCGCTTATATTGGTCGTTCCCTGTTTTCTTTTGGCATTCAAGGGCTATGAAACAAGAATTCAACACGATTTTAAGATTTTTCTGTGCTATAGTCCACGTCGTCTGCATAAATTCGGGTGACCGACACCGAATCACCTAAACGTTTGCGGGATCATAAAAAACGATATAATGAACAATAGTCATCGATTCGCCATATCCGTTACTATTTTTTGGTATTTTAGGGCGCTATTATTCAACACAATTTCCAGATTTTCGTGTACTATAGTCCACACCATCTGCATAAACTTGGGCGACCGACTCCGAATCGCCTAAAATTTGCGGGACAATAAAAAATGACCTAATGAATAAAAGTCATCAATTCGCCATGATTGTTCCTCATTTTTTGGGATTTTACGGCCACAAAACAAATATTCAACACGATTCACAAATTTTTCGTGTGCAATAATTCACGTCACCTGCATGAATCTGGGCGACCGGCTCCGAATCGCCTAAAATGTGCGGGACCATAAAAAATAACCTAATAAACAATAGTCATCACTTCACCATGACCATTCCTCATTTGTTATCATTTTAAAGCCATAAAACAGGAACTCAGCATGATTTCTAGATTTTTAAGTACTATCCGGCTACCAATCGTCAAAAATTTTACGACACTATAAAAAATAACCTAATGAACAATAGTAATCATTTCGCCATTAACGTTCCTTGTTTTGGCATTTTAGGGCATCGAAACAGGAATTCAGTACGATTCCCAAATTTTCATGTTCCATAGTCATCACTTCGCCATTACTGTTCCTCATTTTTGGCATTTTTGGCCATAAAATAGAAATTCAGATGATTTTCAGATTTTTGTGTGTTATAATCCATGCCATCTACATGAATTCGGGCGACGGACTTCGAATCGCCTAAAAATTTACGGGACCATCTAAAACTACGTAATGAATAACAGTCATTGCTTCGCCATGACCGTTCCTCGTGTTTTGGCATTTTAGGGTCATAAAATAAGAATTCAGCACGATTCCCAGATTTTCGTGTGCTATAGTCCACGCCACCTGCATGAATTCGGGCAATCGGCTTCGAATAGCCTAAAATTTTATGGGACCATAAAAATGACTCAATGCATAATAGTCATCGTTTTGCCATGACTATTTCTTACTTTTTGACATTTTAGGGCCATAAAACAGTAGCACGATTCCCAGATTTTCGTGGGCTATACGCCATCTGCATGAATTTGATCGACATGCTCTGAATTGCCTAATATTTTGGGGGACCATATAAAATAACATAATGAACAATAGTCATCGTTTCACCATGATCATTCCTTAGTTTTTGGCATTTTAGGACAATAAAATAAGAATTTATTACTATTCCCAAATTTTGTGTGGTATAACGCACATCATATGCAAGAATTCGGGCAACTGGCTTTGAATCGCCTAAAATTTTACGTGTTCATAATAAATTAATGAGCAATAATCATCGATTTGACGTGACCGTTGCTTTTTTTGTGGTATTTTAGGGCCATAAAATAGGAAGTTAGCACGATTCCTTGATTTTCGTATGCTATAGTTCACGACATCTGCATGAATTCAGGCGATCGGCTCTGAATCACCTAAATATTTGCGGTACCATAACAATAGGCATCGCATCACCATGATCGTTCCTCGTTTTGCGAAATTTTAGGGCCATAAAATAAGAATTCAGCACGATTTTTAGATTTTTGTGTGTTATAGTTCATGCTATCTGCATGAACACGGGTGGCCGGCTAAAATTTTACAGGACAATAAAAACGACCTAATAAAAAATACTCATCACTTCTCTATGATTATTCCTCGTCTTTTGGCATTTTGAGGCCATAAAACAAAAATTCAACATGATTTCTAGATTTTCGTGTGCTATATGTCCATGCCATCTGCATGAATTCGGTCGACCGGCTCTGAATCGCCTAAAAAATTGTGAGACCATCTAAAACGACCTAATGAACAATGGTCATCATTTTCCATGACCTTTCCTCGTGTTTTGACATTTTAGGGTTATAAAAATGGAACTCAACATAATTCTCAAATTTTCGTGTGATGTAGTCTAGGACTGTGCATTATTTGGGTCAAATCAAAAATCCGAACCGATCTGTGTTATGCGGATTATTTCGGATCGGATTTCAACTCTTTGGATCGGATTTCGAATTAAAGATTTAATTATTTTGGATGTCGGATCGAATACGGTTTGGCTTAATTTAAATCTGAACCGATCCGAAATCCGAAA